AAATTATACCAGTGTAACCACATATATAACTGGGAACAAACTCTGTTTTAAGGGATCAAATTATACCAGTGTAACCACATATATAACCGGGAACAAACTCTGTTATAAAGGATCAAATTATACTAATGTAACCACATATATAACTGGGAACAAACTCTGTTATAAAGGATCAAATTAACCTAATGTAACCACATATATAACTGGGAACAAACTCTGTTATAAAGGATCAAATTATACCAGTGTAACCACATATATAACTGGGAACAAACTCTGTTATAAAGGATCAAATTATACTAATGTAACCACATATATAACTGGGAATAAACTCTGTTATAAAGGATCAAATTATACCAGTGTAACCACATATATAACTGTAAACTGGGAACAAACTTTGTTATAAAGGATCAAATTATACTAGTGTAACCACATATATAACTGGGAACAAACTCTGTTATAAAAGATCAAATTATACCAGTGTAACCACATATATAACTGTAAACTGGGAACAAACTGTTATCAAGGATCAAATTAAACTAGTGTAACCACATATATAACTGTAAACTTGGAACAAACTCTGTTATAAAGGATCAAATTATAACAGTGTTACCATGTATATAACTGTAAACTGGGAACAAACTCTGTTATAAAGAATAAAATTGTAACAGTGTAACTATATATCATATGACTGACACTAGGAACAAACTCTGTTATAAAGGATATCCCTTTGGGTCTATGTCTCCCTCAAGGTGTAAATATACATTTTTACATCCCTTTGGGTCTAAAGGGATGTAAAGATGTATATTTACACCTCGAGAGAGACATAGACCCAAAGGGATACAAAGATGTATCTTTAAACCTCGAGAGAGACATAGACCCAAAGGGATGCAAAGATGAATCTTTAAACCTCGAGAGAGACATCTGTCAGTGACTCTAGTGAACCTGTGATTGAAGAACATTTTATAGAGAACATAGCTGTCAGTGACTCTAGTGGAGCTGGACTGACAGTCTCTTCTTGAAAAGCTTAAAGATTTGAAATTACCATTTGGTAACTTTAGGGGTCAAGGGTATAATAATGATGCCAACATGAAGGGCAAAAAAGCTGGTATCCAAGGAAAGTTGCCCCCAGTGGCACAGCAGTATCTCTGCGGACTTACAGCGCTATAAACCGGGTTTCCATACCGTGGTGGGCAGAGCACAGATAGCCCTTTGTGTAGCTTTGTGCTTAACTACAAACAAACAAACGTATTTAATTCTTTAATGTTGTGATGGATGAAACAATTGTTCACCTAGATGAAAGATTTGAGTAAATTGTGCAATCTAAGGACAAGTATGGGTTCATATTTGATTTCAATTCTTTGGTAAAAATGAATGATGATGACCTTGAAAATGGATTAAAAAATGTATCTTTACACCTTGAGGGAGACATAGACCCAAAGGGATGCAAAGATGTATCTTTAAACCTCGAGAGAGACATAGACCCAATAACATTTTATAAGGAACATAGCTGTCAGTGACTCTAGTGGACCTGTGATTGAAGAACATTTTATAGAGAACATATCTCTCAGTGACTCTAGTGAACCTGTGACTGAAGAACATTTTATAAAGAACATAGCTGTCAGTGACTCTAGTGAACCTGTGACTGAAGAACATTTTATAGAGAACATATCTCTCAGTGACTCTAGTGAACCTGTGACTGAAGAACATTTTATAGAGAACATATCTGTCAGTGACTCTAGTGAACCTGTGACCGAAGAACATTTTATAGAGAACATATCTGTCAGTGACTCTAGTGAACCTGTGACTGAAGAAGATTTTATAAAGAACATATCTGTCAGTGATCTAGTGAACATTTTATAAAGAACATAGCTGTCAGTGACTAGTGAATCTGTGACTGAAGAACATTTTATAAAGAAGATATCTGTCAATGACTCTAGTGAACCTGTGACTGAAGAACATTTTATAGAGAACATAGCTGTCAATGACTCTAGTGAATCTGTGACATATCTGTCAGTGATCTAGTGAACATTTTATAAAGAACATAGCTGTCAGTGACTCTAGTGAATCTGTGACTGAAGAACATTTTATAAAGAACATATCTGTCAATGACTCTAGTGAACCTGTGACTGAAGAACATTTTATAGAGAACATAGCTGTCAGTGACTCTAGTGAACCTGTGATTGAAGAACATTTTATAGAGAACATAGCTGTCAGTGACTCTAGTGAATCTGTGACATATCTGTCAGTGATCTAGTGAACATTTTATAAAGAACATAGTTCGTTCCTGTAGAAAACTGTATTTTACTGTCATCTAATACACAGTGTACACCTGATACGTTCCTGTAGAAAACTGTATTTTACTGTCATCTAATACACAGTGTACACCTGATCCGTTCCTTTAGAAAACTGCATTTTACTGTCATCTAGTACACAGTGTACACCTGATCCGTTCCTGTAGAAAACTGTATGTTACTGTCATTTAATACACAGTATACACATGCTATTGGTCGTTTTCTATCCCAGACCACTAGATAGCAAAAGTTATTCATCAGATGTCGTTTTTAGGAAACAGAGACATGGGTAACGTATTCAGGCTGGATGTAAAATAGTTTTCAAACACGGGTCTTTCCACCGCGGTTAAGGATATATATTGTTATTTTTCTGTATAAATGTAATGTTTAGGGTCTATTATAACACGCTGCTACAAGTTTTTTTAAGATTTAATCTGAAGGCAAATAAATTGTGAAAACCATCGATTTTACCGAGTTTAAAATATGCATTATTTTTGTCGGGTGACGTCATGGGAGTCAAACACATAATGCTGCTGTCACAACAGCCACTGACTTTACGTGTGAAGTGAGGAACGTAGTAATCATGTTGATAATGCAGCGGTAGGATGGTGTATTGTGTGGTTCATGGGTACACTAACAAAAGCAAACGAGTTCTAGGATTAGTTTTTATTTCCTGACAGATCCTTTAAGAAAGATTAGAACATTAAACATTATTCCTTAGAATTGTCACTATTGGGGAGAGTAAACCTGTGACTGAAGAACATTTTATAAAGAACATAACTGTCAGTGACTCTAGTAAACCTGTGACTGAAGAACATTTTATAAAGAACATAACTGTCAGTGACTCTAGTGAACCTGTGATTGAAAAACATTTTATAGAGAACATAGCTGTCAGTGACTCTAGTGAACCTGTGATTGAAAAACATTTTATAGAGAACATAGCTGTCAGTGACTCTAGTAAACCTGTGACTGAAGAACATTTTATAAAGAACATATCTGTCAGTGACTCTAGTAAACCTGTGACTGACATAACTGTCAGTGACTCTAGTGAACCTGTGATTGAAAAACATTTTATAGAGAACATAGCTGTCAGTGACTCTAGTGAACCTGTGATTGTCAGGTGTACACTGTGTATTAGATGACAGTAAAATACAGTTTTCTACAGGAACGGATCGGGTGTACACTGTGTACTAGATGACAGTAAAATACAGTTTTCTACAGGAACGAATCAGGTGTACACTGTGTATTAAATGACAGTAAAATACAGTTTTCTACAGGAACGGATCAGGTGTACACTGTGTATTAGATTAAGGTATATTACCTTTATTAAGTTATGTATGCATATGTAATATCACTGTTACAAAATAAGGTTTATTACCTTTATTAAGGTATGTATGCATATGTAATATCACTGTTACAAAATAAGATATATTACTTTTATTAAGGCATGTATGCATATGTAATATCACTGTTACAAAATAAGGTATATTACCTTTATTAAGGTATGTATGCATATGTTTTTCAATACACACTCAGTTGGAAGGAGAAAAAATTTTAAAAATTTGTATATGAAACTTAGGTTTTGCACCATAGTCCAAATTTTGAGTCACAGTAGTTGCTATGTAAGTGAAAACTGTTATTTCCATCCCTGCTATATATATATGATGATGTTATTTGCCTTGTTTCTTGATGATTGAGACTTGCATTCCAAGATGTCTTTGAACTCTACTGAGTTGGAGAAGATAGCTTGTCATATTTGGCTTCCTACCTGCCGTGTGGCTCCCATTTCCTATGGTTATCGGGTAACTTGGTAGAACTAACACTAACATTTGTAACCATGGTACGTGGACCCCAGTACATACCTTGAGCTCGTTGAATAGTTTTTGCCATTCACCCAATATTGAATGCCAGATTAAACCTGTCTTTTCCAAGCAGATTATTGAGGAAAATAGTATCAGTTTTATTTGTACCCCTTTGTAGAATTGACATACTGTTAGTAGATTTAAATAATTAGATATTTGTCATTCTTCTGAAAAAAAAAAGTGAAAAATCTTTTAATTAATGTTCAGATTGATGATTTTTTTTCATAATATTATTAATAATTTCAAAATGTATATATTAAGAGCAAATACTTTTGACAGAAAGCCTGAATGTCAAAATTAGATATGTTGTAATAGCTCTAGTTTCCAAATTTGTAATTTTAGTGTGGCACATAGGTTCATTAACATACAGTAAAGTTGGAGCCTTTTCTGCAGCCGTAAACAGATTTATATTAGTTGAGTTTGTTCACGTTGTAAGCCTTTTCTGCAGCCGTAAACAGATTTATATTAGTTGAGTTTGGTCACGTTGTAAGCCTTTTCTGCAACCGTAAACAGATTTATATTAGTTGAGTTTGGTCATGTTGTAAGGTACTAAATTAACGATTGTGTTATTTATTTTTGAAAAAAAATGTAACCATAAGAAACTTTTTTTTATGGAAATTCAACAGTGAAAGCAGTGTTTTATTCCAGTTCTTTCTGGTTTGTAGTATAGGTTTATTGATCAAATGAATATTATTTAAGGATTGTCAGGTGTGTTTGGGAATTAATTATTTGGGAACATTCATCTTGATCTAAGCTAGGATGATGACCACACCCAACATTATTTTTTTTATCAGTGCTAGATGAATTTTCTTTGCAGCTTTTAAAAATGTATGTAATTTGTCTCATACAGAGGAATTGGGAGCTTTCAACACCGAGTGGCAGCACCGTGCTCAACCTTATACCCATCGATCACGTCATGCACATCTCACGTACAGAGATCATCCTCGATTCGGCCAAAGAAGTTCACGTATCCCTGGTGCTTCAGAGCAACTGGCCATCACTGCTGGACCAAGGTAGGGTCACATTAGAAGAATGTTAAATTGAATCTCAGGCCTATTTGTTACTGGCTATAGTATATAAAGCTGCATGGTTTGAAATGCATCTTCTACTACTTAAGGCTCTAACTTTACCCAGTGAAGTAATTCGGAATAAACTTGTAACTTCGATTAAATATTAAGTAGATTAATATTAGAATGTCAATGACTGTTTTGTAACAGCCTTCATGATTATTGAAACAGCACCATATAGTCTAAAGTGAGCTATAATTTAGTATTTTTCTAATCTCATTACACATTTTGTAACCTTTCTGTGTATGAGTCCGTAGTCTTTCAGGCTGATGCTAATTTCATAAATGGTCTCTCAGAGTTCTCTACATGGTCTTCAAGAAGACAGTCATTATAGCATTGATTGAGAAGTGTAGAAACAGCTTATGTTTTAGTTATTCTAAAAGAGATTATTTCTACACTTCTAACAGCTGTGCATGATACTGTATAATTTCCTTTGATTCTATTGGAAGTCAGTAAGGAGTTTATTACCTGGAATTTAAAATACTAAAAAACCGTCATTTGTAACACCCAGCATTCAAAATACAACGGGCTCTGTATCGTGACCTTAAAGCTTTAAGTGGGTGTTAAGAAATGTGTTGTATACTTTGATATTAAAATTGTATCTTTACTAATAACTACAGTGGGCATGTTTTAGACTATTAAATTGTGTGTAGATTGCAGCAACTATGCTATATGTTTTTACAGTGGTGGTGAATATGAGCAACCTCATTCTTCACATAAACGTAGCAGCGAAGGCTTGTCCGTGAAAGGAAAAGGAAAAGATATTGAAGCTAAACAGAAAAAGAAGCAAAAAAGTGGACATTCTGGCCGGAGCGGTTACGAGAAAATGAAACATCGACCCAGGCACGAAACTAACATGTGATCTGTCAATTTCTTTTTTTTTCCATGAGCTGCAAAACCCGTAGATTTTTCTTACTTCTACCACCAGATGGTAGCCTTAGACATAAAATTTCACCTTGATCAAAATAAAAAAAAAAATGTAAATAAAACATCCTTTTATTTTCTTTAGAAAGTTTGTCATTAGAAATAAAAAAAATCTGTAATGGACCATTTTTTTTACTTTTACAAAACAAAAATATGACAGCTGCCTTCATACAGTGTGAAGTCAAATGTTGGCCTTTTTTTCTGTCTTCTGTTGATTTAAGAAAATAAAACACTAGCTGTTGGAAGTTCAGTTCAAAGGTATGGGAATACCTGAGGCTTACCAGTGCTTTACATATTTATTTCCTAAAAAACAGAAAGAATATATAAACTGGTTTGAATGAGAAATGGTCAGACCCAGAGGAAATAAAAAGATGAAGTTTATACACTATTATCATTGGTAGAAATGTTGCTTGACATTATCTAGTAACTAATTAACATATATTGATGTTGTATGTACTTGTGTTTCATTAAAGTTGCAGCACTTAATTCCTAGCCCCTGTGGTAATTACAACTGAGCATACACCCCTCATTCTTTGGGCAGGATTATTACCTTCTCTTGCTGTTTTAATCTTAATATACTTAGCTAGCTTTGAAGTTTATGTTTTCAAATCCTGAGAGACAATTAAATCAAATTGTAAAAGGATTTGTGTATACTAAGTGTGGGATTGTTTTAATAAAGGAACTTGCTAGAGAAATTTGGTGTGGCATCAATTTTTTGTCTGTACGTCATTCTAAATGATGTTGGTTTTTTTTTATCAAACATGGTTTTAATCTCCAAAGTCTTTGTCTCCAAACATTTTTAAAGTTGTATTTGGTTTTTTCACGTTGTTAAAGTAATAATATTTTAACATGAATGGGATGAAGGGTTTGCCTTTAAATATTGAAGACAAAGCACAATCTTATTTCATAGCTGATTATATTAAATGTACATGTTAGAAAGAAAAACCAGTCTTAAATTTATATTTTAAAGATTGTTTACTAAAGTTATCACAGATTTTACTGACTCGTACTTCATTAGATGTTTAGTTAAGTGTAATTTCTTGTACAAAAAAGGAAACTTTAGTTTTAGCCGAATCGTCATCTGTTTTCTTTATAAAAATATTTTAGTCATAAACATTTTTAAATTCCTTTCAAAAAATTTCCTAAAGTTAGTAGGAGACTACCTACTAATCAGTAACGTTAAATGTAGACAATAACGAATGTATTAGTTGAAAATTGTGGAAATGGGCGGTATTCCTAGTGATCAGGTCTAGTCTGATAAAACTGTAGATATATTTCAATAACCTGTTTAATCAATCTGCTATTGTTCACTCGAACAGCGGAAGACCTCTTTCAAGTAAGCACTAAAATTATAGATACTGTAATGCTACAAGAGTTAAGATTTAACTATACTGAATTTGTCTTCCACTTTACGATGCTCGTTTTCACCCCAGATATAATCGGTTCACTTTCTCACCCCACCCCATTATCAAAGTATCCCCGAATTACCTGCGAGTAATATGACCGACTCGACAGATTGTAATGTATGATGTAACTGCAAGCCTCTGCCTTAAAGCACCTCAGTTAGAAGATGTAATGTATGATGTAACTGCAAGCCTCTGCCTTAAAGCACCTCAGTTAGAAGATGTAATGTATGATGTAACTGCAAGCCTCTGCCTTAAAGCACCTCAGTTAGAAGATGTAATGTATGATGTAACTGCAAGCCTCTGCCTTAAAGCACCTCAGTTAGAGGATAACTTCATTAATAAAAATCACCACTTTTAATAACATATTCTGAGAATTACAAGATAAAACTTAATATGTTTAGAAACAAGCTTGAAAAGATTTAAAGTTTGATATCATTAACAGGTTAACTTAAGACTAATACTAAAAGAAAAATGTAATACAGTTTTACTTCAGTCTATCTGGTCATTCAACGTTTGTTGCTACATTTTCTTCACCGTAAGCATGTTATTGATCTGCACCATAACTGTAATGAATTCAGGAACTTTTCTTTTATTAACACTTCAAATATCTAAGATTTGGTTAAAGTTGTCCAGCTAAACATAAGAGTGAGAGTTTATGTAGTGGATCAAAAAGAGATATCCGTTCCTTTAGAAAACTGTATTTTACTGTCTTTTTGTAAGAGTGATATTACATATGCATACATGCCTTAATAAAGATAATATATCTTATTTTGTAACAGTGATATTACATATGCATACATGCCTTAATAAAGATAATATTTTGTAACAGTGATATTACATATGCATACATGC